GGGGACTACAACTGGACCAAAATGTTGCTCATTTTGCAAATCCACTTTGGCTTTTTGTGATGTAAAATTGAAGACAACACAGTCACACTCACTGTGTCTTGAGTGCTTTGCGTCAGGTAGTAGGCGATACATTTGGCTAAAAGGTGTGGTCACACGAGTGCTGTTTCATGTTTGTGGTGACTTGTGTGTGTTGTAGTGAGCGCGTGCTGGGCGTCGTACACAGCGAGGGCCTTCATGACCCGGGTCCTGTCCGGTGGCAGCTGGCGCTGTGCCTGCTAGCTGCCTGGATCATCATCTTCCTGTGTATGCTCAAGGGCATCCGCAGTTCCGGCAAGGTGAATCAGCACAATGTTGTTATTGTCAGCTCCCCCAGAAAACATACAATCTGTTCCCTTTGCTGCTATATCTTGTTGGTGTAACGTGCATCTGTGCTGTGCGTGTGTGTTTTCAGGTGGTTTATGTTACAGCTACCTTCCCGTACTTTGTGCTCATTGTTCTGATCATCAGAGGCGCGACGCTGGAGGGTTCACTCCAGGGTGTTGCTTTCTACCTCACACCGGACTGGGGTCGCTTAGCTAACGCACAGGTACTTCTGAAGGTCGACTGGCACGCACCAGGCTGACAAATTTATGAATCTTTTGATGCTGCTTTAATAGTGACTGCAGTTTTTTTTTTTTTTTCATTGTTCAAAGCACATGTCTTTCTGAAATATTGCAGGTGTGGAATGACGCAGCCTCGCAGATCTTCTACTCGTTAGGTATTGGAGTGGGAGGGCTGCTTTCTATGGCCTCTTACAACAAGTTTGACAACAATGTCATTAGGTGAGTTTGACGCCGTTCAGCTTTACAATAATAACCTAATAGAATAGAGTAGAGTAGAATAGAATAGAATAGAAAGTCTTTATTGTCATTATAAACAGATGTCAAGAGCTCACCATTAGACATACAAGACATATATACACTATAAAACATGATTTAAAAAACAATTTTAAAAAACAATTTTAAAAACAAAAAACAATTGCCAGTTGTTTTGTTTATTTACCTGAAGTGAAGATAGCAGGATAAAAAAAAGAATTCAAACTATTACCATCAGTTCCAACCAAATGATAGAGTTTTAAGGAGAGATTTAACCCTCTGAATCCAAAACCCCTGATAAAATCAGAAAGAATCACTACATTTTAAGCTTTCCAACAGCTCTTGAACTACATAATTCTCTTTGCATTAGATTTTTATGACTTAACGTATGTTAACTTTAGTTAAAAATTCACCAAAAATAAACCATTTGCTGTAACTACATTTTGCAAAAGACAAAAAATTCTTCACTGCTTGATGCAACCAGAAAGCCATGACTGATTTGTCTGAGACCAACAGTCATGTGGCAAAAATTCATGGACCTTTTTTGGGTGAATTGGTTTGACCTGAGTTTACACAAAGCAGATGGGAGACAAGTATAGAAACAAATTTAAAATGTCAGCACAGTGCTGCCCGTTAATAATCATACCCTCGGTCCAGGATGAAATTATCACTCTATCCAGGATATTCCAATAAGCGGGCTTCAATTGCAGTGAAAAAACACTGAGAAAATGGTGTCTGTGTGACAAAAAACAGGGGTTTATAAAGCCAACATGTTTCTTTGAAGGTCAAGAAATGTTTATTCAAATGGCGCTTTATGGTTTTGCTTCAGTGAAAAGCCATCCCATCAACAAAAGTTATTTCCTTTAACCAGAGGGTGTACAGACGATTAACTTATTATGATTAACTAGCTGAGCAGTTAAGTTATGAGTGATGACATGCTCTGCAACAATGCAGTTCTCTTTAATGTGCCCTAATAAATGTCAGAGTGTGAATAACTCAGTGAAGCAGATCTCAGGTGAGCAGGTAATTGACAGTTAAGGAGCGCGACCGGTTTAGACTGGAATCTGTTATTGGCCGCAATTAAAACATGATACGATTAACCAAACAAAAGAATGGATGTGAGCAATAAATCTGAATTTGGCACTAAGGCGTGCAGTGTAAATGAAGCCTTGGTGCTCTGCTGTGACATTCTCTGTTTTCATGAAGGCTCCAGTCTCATAATCCTGACTCTTTTGATTTCAGGGACACTCTGATAATCACCACAGGCAACTGCAGCACCAGCTTCTTTGCAGGATTTGCTATTTTCTCAATCCTGGGTCACATGGCTTGGAGGAAGGGAGTACCTGTTTCAAAGGTGGCAGACACAGGTAGTTACTCTGCTTATTGTTCTCCTGTAGATCCTAGTCCAGTTCTTTTCTGTCATCAATAACAAGGGGTCATGACATATACATCTTTGACAATGTATCACCTACATCATGCTTTTTGTGGCTTCAGGTCCTGGGCTGGCCTTTGTTGCTTACCCAGAAGCCCTCGCTCTGCTGCCAGGCTCAGTCTTCTGGTCCATTCTGTTCTTCCTCATGCTCTTTATGCTGGGCATCGATACGCTGGTAAGGCCACACACCACACCAAGACATCAGCAGAAATAAAGTCCTCTTAGTCCACCTCTGAGTGTATCGTATCTTCATGCTCTGCTGCCGCACAGTTTGGCAACATGGAGGGCATCACTACGGCCGTGCTGGACGAGTTTCCACACCTCAGACAGAACACGCTGCACAAGTCCTTGTTCCTGGGCGTTCTGTGTTTTTGCTTCTACCTGATGGGCCTCCTGTTGGTGACCAATGTGAGTGTGTCTTCAATGAACAATAGCATCTGAGGAATCTGCATGTTTTGTATGTTCAGACTCCCATTTCTCATGTTGTCCGTGTCTTCATAGGGAGGGATTTACTGGTTCACTCTCATTGACTCCTTCGCTACTAGCTTCGGCCTCATCATCATCGCCCTCTTCATGTGCATTGGCATCTCCTTCTTCTATGGTATCCCATCTTATCCCTCACACCCCTGACCTTCACATTTACACTCCTCATCAGTCATCTGCATGAGTCACCCAGGAGACACGTTGTAAAAACACAATTTGCTTTCAAACCCTTTTTTGAAAGCATCCCACATCCTCTCTGTTTTTATTTATTTTTTAAATTTGTCACCATTTTATTCTACTTAACAATAGATTGAACATATTATGTGTTACTCTCTGTTTTCCTGATGGCATCCATAGGTTCTCCAGGTTTCCTAATATGCAGCTCTTCATTTTCTTCCAGGAGTCAACCAGTTCTGTCAAGACATTATTGATATGATTTGCCACTGCCCTCCCTGGTGCAGCAAAGTGCTGCTTTACTTCAAAGCATGCTGGGTGTTCTGTACGCCATTTCTTCTGCTGGTGAGTATACACATCAGTGCGCTTGTAGATACAGGTGCAACGTCACATCAGCTTTTCTACTCATTATTTCAGCTGTATTTAAAATGAAGAGTGCTTTTCAGAACATCTGGTAAAGTTGTATAAATGGAAGTAACTTAAGCTACATCCACATTCATATTTTTTCATTTTAAAACAGCGTTTTTCTGAAGTGTGCTACAGCTCCTAGCAACAAGGTCTTTGTTGTCCATGTAGGTCATTTGTTATTTGTGTTGAATTAAACACAATGCTAAGTTTTTGCTTCCTTCTAGAAAACGGTCATGTGACAGGAGCGTTATGAATCAGTGTAATGACCTTTAAGGCCCAGTCAGAGCGAGAACATGAGCGTCTGTGTCATTGTTTCCAAGAATTTGTTTCTGCTTGTTCAGACTAAAACACAAGAGTCTCCGTATTTAGGGGTCCTTATTCTCTGTGGTAGTGTGGACACCAGGCATTAACGTAGCAGAATTTATGCTTTTAAAAATGCAAGTGTATGTGTTAATGAATCCTTATGTGCAATTTCTAAAATTAAAAATGGAATGAATTTGACAGGTTTTTATCGTTGGAACGAAATAGTTATTAGGCTGCTTTATTGTAAATGTTACATTCTGTGATGCTGTTCATGTAAATAGAAACTATAATAAATTGGTTGTGTCTTATCTGGCAGACTTATATACAATGTTAGACTAAAAACATTAAATATTATTCAGGAGATCATTTTCTAATCACTACTAGCTGTAGGATTATTGCTAAGATAAATCACACCTTATGTACTTAAAGCATCGTTGATTTGTATCAGATGCTCAGTCCATGGTACATCACTGCCTCTAATGTGTCTGCTGCTCTTCAGTATATGTTGCCTGAAGCACTGTCAGGCTAAATGATCTTCCCATTTGAATGTACCTGTATTGTAATGTATTGCTGAGGGGGGGAACACGGTGCTCTCTCTCAGAGAGCTGACAATATCCAGTTACATGACTTAAGAGTTTGGATCACAAACTGCCAGAGAAACTCAAATAGCATCACTCATTTGAAGTCGACTGTAGCCAACTTTGCTAAAAACTTCACCTCAGCTGAATAATTGAAGAGGAGAAACTGACATTCAATCTGAGTTCCCCCTGCAGAATTTCTATACTGACCTTCCTGTTGTCTCTTCTTCTGTTGCCATTCTGTGTTTTTTGTTGAGGTGAAACATTCCTCTGCTCACTCCTGTGCCTTTTCCTGTTGCAGTTCATCCTGACCTACATCTTCATTGAGATGTACAACACGTCGCTCCGCTACGGCGACTACGTGTATCCACGGTGGGGCAAAGCGTTGGGCGTGTGCATGGGAGCGACCTGCTGCCTACAGATCCTCATCTGGGCCATTGTGGCCATCAGCAGGGAAACTGGGACGCTGAAAGACGTTAGTATCACCACTATGTAACTGTGTCACTGTGAGGTCCAGTTACACCTCTGACATAGATGCACTAACAGTAAACCTGTCTGTGCTGTTTCAATGCACAGCTTTTGATAGATGCAATGAAATGGCCTGTGTGGGTTTGTGACTGTCTGGTTTCTGTTTTTTTTTTTTTTTGCAGCGTTTTCAGAAAGCAATTCGACCTCTGAATTCCTGGAGGGTAAATAACTTGAACAGCACTGGCGGGAGAACAGAGGCACGCATGGAGCCCGAGAGAGTAGAGGCGCCGTTCACGGTCACACTCACGGACATGGACTATACTGCCATGACATGGGAGGCGTAACAACACCGAGATCAGAGATGAACTCACAACGATGAGCAAACTATGTTATGAAGAGACAGCGGAATTTATTATTTTGTATTTCGCCCCAGCTTGGCCCTGGTGGCTGCGTCTGATCTGACTGTGTCCTGCAGGGCAGTGTGGAATAATTGCTTTATTTATACCACTGTGTATATATGAATAGCAATCTTAAGAAGTTTTTAAAATTTTTTTTTTACATTGAATAGAATGTAAGGTTACAGAGGTAAAGTCTGGATCATCTTCATCTTACAGGGTGTAGCAGGATTCCACTAGGATATCTTGCATGTTTTATTTATTATCATAGTACAGTGAATTTTCAGAGGGACCAGATTTTATTTGTTATGTGGAAGGAGGAAGGACAACAAAAGTGCAGCTTCTTTACTGTTACCCTCCACATCATGATGGACCTGGACAAGTGACCTCAAATCATCAGTGTGCCAGATGAAATGGTGCTGACGATGCAGCTGCAGTGCGTCAGGAACACTTATATTCCATTTGACATTTTTAGAATTCCCCATCTTTAGAATAAATAAATAAAGTAAACATTGACTTGCCAAATGAACTGTTTTTCAATGTACTGTTCTGGTGTCCAAGAGAGGAGACACTCAGATGTCTTATCTGATAATTTCCATTTAAAATGAGCGGTTTTCACAGATTTCTGTGGAAATTGTAGTAATTTATTCACTTATTTGACTAAAAAACTATCTCCAGAATCTACTGAAAGTGCCATAATAACAACTAAATTCTACAGTAGTGTTGTAGACATGCTTTTAAGTGGGACATCTTAAATAGTCCATTGTCTCTTGAGTAAAAAAGGAAGACAAGTCAGTGGGTATCTACACACACTTCTTTACTTGACTAGAACTTGGCTTTGACTGTTCTTCATTGTCGGTTTCCCCTCCCTGCCGTTTATTAGAGAAACCTCATTAAGTCTGTTTGCTAAATGAATTGCCTTGAGTAAATGGTTGTTTTCATGCTATCAACTTTATTATCATTTCTCACAACTTTTGAGGGCGTAAATGTTAATCACTCTGTAGGAATGCTCAGAGAAGACAGCAAAATTGATTGTTAAAATGTTAGTTACTGGCAAATTAGCCATGCTGCTCACTTTTAAAAACCTTGCTGGACAATCAGATTCATTAATTTTTTTCCAGATGCTTTGCTAGATACGCCCAATGATATTGGCACACAAAGGAATTAATGAAGGGTTACAAAAATACCACACCCACATGAGTCTGCTTGGACATACCAGTCAAATGAATGGGTTGTGCATCTCTTGAAGGGACTGAATGAATGAGGTCATCTCCGGTGAATAACATCACAGCACGCAAGGTTCTTATTGAAGTTTTGATCCTGTTTCTATCATTAAAGACGAAAACACCTCCGCCATTCTCCAGGCTAAGCTCTCAAAAGTTCTTTTTTGGAATGTTTGGAATGTCAATGTTTTAAAAAAAAACAAAAACTCCAACACGTTAAGCTGTTTTTGTGTATTTATAATAAGGATTTTTTCTTTCAAATGATCTTTTAAGCAGGATCACTACTTTTAAACCAAGACCATTTTATCATCATTTGTTTTTGAATCTTATGTAATGAAACTCCTCCATCTGTTTCACCTTTGTACACAATGCTGCCATTCTTATGTATACCTCTGTGCATAAAGGTTGCGTATTCTTATCATATTTATAGAACTATTCCATTCCTTTTGTTATGGTTTATATTTTTCTTGTAGTGATCTAATGAAAACAACTTAAATGCAAGATATATATGTATATAAAATAAAGATTAGTTTTATTTACCTGAATTTTTTTTTTGAGTTAATAGGCTTAAAAAATACATTTATGGTGATTAGAATGGCTCAGTGATGTGTCAGCCTGCTAGTGAACAACATCCAAGATACAGGCCACATATATATACACAGGAAAATACAATAGGATGTCACATTTTAAATGTTTTAGCAGCCAAAGGTGAGGCTGCAGTGCACCGATGTCAGTCTCTAAAACACAGATTCAGACTTCCAGGATTTTGTGCATAACAAACCTAAAGAACCAATTCTGTCAACTTTTAGGGTTTGACTTATCAATATTCATAGTCAGTTCTTAGTTCAAACATGTATGACTGAATTATACCAAAATTTTAACTTGTTCTTGTAGCTCGGAGTAGTTTTACAGCAAGTGTAGAGGGGTGCATGGAGACGGAGGTAGGGACTTCATAGATCTGCACATTCTTGAGAAAGCAATAGTGTAAAGGTGCATCTAAGACCTTTTAAGGCAAAAAGAGGTTGTTTTAATGGGGTAAAAAATCTAAATATGTAACTTTGATACATAGAGATGAGTTTTAAATGGATGTAATCACGAACCAAAGATCCTACAGTTTTAAGCGAATGAAGAAAGAAGTTATGTGTGACTTTTACCACCAGAGGGCAATGGTTGCACAAACAGTAGACTGGAGATTTGGTACATGGAGCTTTTGCCACTTCCCTAAATTTCACATTTACTGTCAATACTATATTAAATTTTTGTAATTAAAATTTCAGATTTTTTTTTTTTTACAGTAATCAAAGATAATTCACTGTAATCTGCATGTAAGCATGGAGATGGACGTTCTGTAGATAAGAAGAACCATTTTAAAAGATCAGTGCACAACATAAAACGAGGGGAAACACACAGGCACATACGAAATAAAGCTACGGAATAAACACGTGAACCGTTGTGGTGTGTAACTACATTAGGTCAGGTGGATTATCATGACTGACTGCTGACTTAGCAGTAAACACTTCGAGGCTCGCCCTCTTGGCGGGATATATGCTAATCAGCGGATGTTGCGTAGATATTTTCCCGCGTTTTTAACTTGTGAGCTTGGGTGCGTTCGTTTGCGGTTGATCACGTGACGCCGGTGAACGCACATTGTGTTGTGTTTAACGTTACCGAAATCACAGAGGTGATATGAGGCTATAAATCAACTATCTCACGTTAATGTCGACAGGATTTGTTTTAACACAAGCAAACGAGCAGCAAACTTCAGTGAACAGTATCGTACACTCGGACTTGTGAGCATTTACTGTGTGACAGCCGTGATACCGGCGGCACCGCCTTCCCGCCGCGTACCCCGGTGACACAAAGCGAGCACCTCCAGCAGCACGGTTCCAGGAAGACAGTTCGGTTTTGTTGTATTGTTGCCACGGAACTCCTGTAGTGGGCTTTAAACTGAGTTTTTTTTCGCCTTCAAAACACAGTTCCGTTTTTAAGTGTTTTATCTGACTGTTAGGTGCCCGGATACCGAGATGCCACCTAAAAAACGCAACTCTGCGGCGACACAGATGAAGGAGCTGAAGCCCGGAGCTGAGAGTTGCTCACCAGACAAGGAGAGTCCTGAGTTGTCTGTTAAAAAGTAAGACAAGTTGTGTTGCCTCATTCACACCACAGCGGCATGTTAGCAGTCACCACCTGGTTGTGTTACGGTGACACAGTGGCCTAATATTCAGCCAGTTGTTCTACTCTTGCTAGCTAGCTTGTCTCTCTAACCTTCAGGCTGACGAGCTAGCCGCTACAACGAAGTCAGGCCTGCATTTAGAGCTCATACTAGTGAGTTTGAACATCTCTTAACTCTACACAGCTGGCCACAAAGTGTAACTATTCAGTAGTAGGTGTAACATGAAGTGTAACGCTGTTACAACACACAAATACGACCCATGTGTGACTCAGACTTTGGCTAACGGTGAGGCTGCTGTCATCTGTGCATCATGTTTTGATGTCGTCCGTCTTTGTTGATGTCTGACCTCCGTCCTCCAGACACAGAGACAAGGATGCTGAGTTTGTGACTCTGAGTAAGAGCCTCCGTGTGACGGACCTGGTGTGTGACGATGCCTGGAAGCTGTGGAAAACCGTCCAAGAGTCCATGGACGAAGTCACTGTAAGTATTTATATGAAATGACAGCACAATTATAAACACAGCATTCAAATGTCCTACTTATCTGACCTAGTGGGAAAGTTCACAGTCTCATTTCTAAAGTTGTGATTGGACAAAGGTTACATTTAGCCAGTTGTGCACAAAGTTGTTCAACTAGTGACAAATTCTCAACTATTTAGTTCATCCACACTGCACACAGGTGTGGCTTTGAAGGACAATGATCAGGCTGTGTCACCAAAACTCCTTTGACTGGTCGCTATGTGAAGCCACCTTAAAATGCAGATTTATTCAAATGATATCGTGCGACAAACAAAGAAAGGGAGAAGAGAACGGGCTGTTGACATGCTGGATGCTGGCATGTCACTTAGAGCCGTAGTCAGACAACTGACTGTCCAAAACTTCATCATTTGTCATCTAAGAAATCATTTTGGACAACATGGTGTGACAGACAATCTGCCACATGTTGCCCTGGTGTGTATAAATGTGACATTCCGTGAAATGTGTGTCAACTTCGCCAAGTCCTTCAAGGAAGAGCGAGACAAAATTCCACAAGCACCATGGACAACCTCATCAACTCTGACTGATGATTTCTGGTTTATGATCCAACTCTCGATCGGCTGATTATCATTTCCAATACAGTGCATTATTAGTTCTTTCATGACGTCCATTCTATTGTAGAAATGCTGTGTGTTGGACCAACAAACATGTATTCCCCTTTGTTACGTAGAATGGATTGAATTAACTTAAATATATTACATGCTATATTCATATTTTTGCTAAGTAACAGCTGACTGCACGTGACTGCACATGCTTAGTTTTGTGATTCTCATGGGTGTCCTGTTGAGGAAGAAGAATGCACAGGTGGAAACTGTATCACTCTGCTTGAAAACGACACAGTAAAAGAACAAAATTGTCCCTTCTGGAGGCAACTCATGTTATGTTTATGTGGTTTCGTCAGAATACATAATCCACTATGACGTCTGGTCCTGAACGCTAAAAATAAACATGTCCTCATATCAGAGTCATCTCCCTATTGGTGATGACTTTGAAAAGATTTCTCAAATTTGCATTATCAAGGACAAGTTTGTATCAAACCTGAATGCATTTTCCACTTTACAGCAATGAAGTCTCACCTTTTGAAAAATACTTATAATACTTACACTGCAACTATTGTAGATGATTATGCTTCTTAAATGCAAACAGTTACTTTTCTATCTCTAGTGAAATAAGGGAAAATGAAACAGTATGTTTTTCTAACATTGTGTTTTTCTAAACATTTTGTTTCAGGACAGTCAGAAAAGGCTGTGGGGCGCCTGTCTGTTTGTGACCGTGACTGAAATGGATGCCTCCTGTTTCACCTTAACTCAGGTTCTGAAAGCAGTCAGTCTAAAGTAAGTGCTCACTAGGCTTTATCGGCATCACTCTATAGTGTCTTTGTTTTTTCAGTGATTCAAATATATGTTATGTATGATGTCACACATGTTGTTTGAGTGGCAACTCAGTTCTTCTTTGTGTGGATACAGACTGCAGATTGTTTTTTCAGCCTTTCAGAACACAAGAGCACCTTGTTTGGAATTGCTTTCTGCAGCATACTAGTACAATAGATGTATTCAGGGCCTCAAGTAATTATCTCTAGATGCCTTTCACTTTTGTAGAAATGCATGATTGGATTTTTGCCAACATTTGTGATGCTGATGCTTTCCATGTAATTTTGGCTGATCACCATGGCAGATACTGATATCTGCAAATATTTTTCTGCAGAACTGCTGAGACAAAAAGCCTCACCTGCAGTGAAAACAACATTTTCATGCCTACTCTTATAGTGCAAACCTAAAATACAAAGCATTTCAAATGTACACTATACATTTACTAGCAAAATAAGAAAAAAATACTTCCAACGTACATGTAAAGCATGTCGAATACATTTTCATTTAACATTTTCAAACAAAACTGTAAACTTTTAGCCTAACAGACATTCCCTGGCAGTGAATGTTAAATTTGGGCAGATGCTGCTGTTTCATTTTAAAGTCTTTATCAGCTGATACTCACTGTCCATCCCTAATGTCAAGACTTACCACTGCTGTATTAGATCATTTTGCATCACTGAGGTGGTTTCACAAGTTTGATCTTACTTCAATTGCTTTTTTGTTGTTGTTGTTGTTTGCTTTCTTTGTTTTGTTTTTTTTTGGAAAATAAGTTACCTCACCCCCTAATTTGTCTCTTTTTTTGTAGTGTGAAAGAGTTTATTAGTCTGGTGAGGAAGCTGGACGTGAACTTGGACACGATAAGCACCAAGGTGAATTCTGCACTTACACGACTGGAGAAGAAGTACGATGTGATACTGGCTCTTTACCAGAGGTTTGAGAAGTGAGTGAGCTTATCAGTAGAAAGCAGGTGCTTGATTTGTGTAGAACTGTTTGTGGCAAAATACCAAGTGATCATAAAATTTGTCTGTTTCAGAACGTGCAAGAAAATCTTTGTTTTGACCTCTGATGGAAAGTAAGTTGGAGAAAATATATTTGTCACACTTCTTTTTTGTGGTCTTGTGTTCGATAATTGCATGCTTGTTATAAAAGCTGTAATGCTGGTACATGGTTAATGGTGCAGTGTCTCATTTTGAAGGGAGAGGGAGACCATGCGAACCTGCTGGACAATGTTTCTTTTGGCCAAAGGTAGGTTGAGCTTCTTAACACATTAACAACAACAAAAACAAGTCGGATCAAGCTGTTAACACACTTGATGGAACTGTTTTCATGTTGTTCGGTCTTCTT